ATTTATAATTTTCCTGGCAATGGAAGACAAGTTTTCACGTAATATTGTTGCTTTGGATAACGATCTCGGTGGGTAGTTTTTGTTTTTTTGAAATTGAAGGTTCTGGAGGATGTGAATTTTTATTGAAGATTGGTGTCTTCGGTCGTTTCATTTGAACTTGAAATTTTTAATTGTAGTCGTGCTTGAAGTTTGTTATTTATGTAGTTTGAGAATTTTCTGTCATTTATTGCAATTTAACTCGTATGAAATTTGTTTGAGCGAAATTTTTGTAAAATTGAAGATTCTGAAGAATGTAGAGTATTATCAAAGTAGGTATCTTTGGTGTTTCTTTCTTAAACTTCAAATTTTTATTACAGAAGCAGCGGAAGTTTATTGCATATATCTATTTCAAGGATTCCCTTTAATATATTACAATTCGGCTCATATGAAATTCGTTAAAGCGAAATTTTTACAAAATTGAGAATTCTGAAGAATATAAATTATCATCGAAACATAGTATCCTCAATTTTTTCACTGAAACTTGAAATTTTTTATTATAGTAATACTCGAAATTTATTATATATCTATTTCAAGAATTCCCTCTAATTTATACATTTGTTAAAACGAAATTTTTGTAAAATTGAGAATTCTGAAGAATATAAGTCATCGTCGAAACATAGTATCCTCAGTTTTTTCACCGAAACCAGAAATTTTTTCTTATAGAAACACTCTAAGTTTATCATACCCCTGTTTCAAAGATCCCCTTCAATTAATTACAATTTTAAAGTAGGTATCGCATTTGAAAGAAATTCTTCAAGGTAGCAGCGCAATTTACAATTCAGCCTAAGCAAATAACCGGCCTAACAACAAGCATCTATCATAATCATCGCGCGCCAATTAGGGAGCCAGCAGTTCGGCTTATCGTTTTACGCTGTTCGCTGTAATTCCAATAGAACGAGGCGCGTGTTGCTGCCGCGCAAACATTGTGTTGACGCGTCCGTGAAGCTTGTGCAGCGCATGCTGACCGATTGGGACCCTGGAGGAAAGGGCTGACCCCTCGTGCACCCTGATAACTTGGTTACGTTCCAATATCATGATTACACGTCATCCTTGACAGGTGACAATCCCCAGAGTAATGACTATTGTGAAAACGGTCGCAGGATCACGTCGACCGTTTAAATTCTTCAGCTCAGACGAGAATACATCCCCCCTACGGGTCATTTGTTAATCTTCACGGTCATGAAAACGT